GACAACAAAGTCAAAGCTCCTACATCCAAAGCCTCCAAGAAAAATATGAATCAGTCCCAGGCCTTGGAAGAGCTCAAAAGGGATTTTGAGAAGCAAGTAAGGGAAGTAGAGGAAAAACTGGAAGAGAAATGAGAGTGATGCAAGAAAATCATGAAAAACAAGTCAACAGCTTGCTAAAGGAGACCCAAAAAAATACTGAAGAAATTAACACCTTAAAAAATAGCCTAACCCAAACGGCAAAAGAGGTCCAAAAAGCCAATGAGGAGAAGAATGCCCTAAAAAGAAAAATTGGCCAAATGGAAAAGGAAGTCCAAAAGAACTACTTTTAAAAATTTAGAGCAATTGGAGCTAGTGACTTCATGAGAAATCAAGACACTGTAAAACAAATCCAAAAGAATGAAAAATTAGAAAACAATGTGAAATATCTCATTGGAAAAACAACTGACCTGGAAAATAGATCCAGGAGAGAGAATTTAAAAATTATTGGACTATCTGAAAGCCATGATCAAAAAAAGAGCCTAGACATCATCTTTCAAGAAATTGTCAAGGAAAAATGCCTTAATATTAGAACCAGAGGGCAAAATAGAAATTCAAAGAATCCACTATCTCCTCCTGAAAGAGATCCCCAAAGGAAAACTCCTAGGAATATTGTAGCCAAATTCCAGAGTTCCCAGGTCAAGGAGAAAATATTACAAGCTGCCAGAAGGAAACAATTCAAGTACTGTGGAAACACAATCAGGATAACACAAGATTTAGCAGCTTCTACATTAAAGGACCGCAGGGCATGGAATATAATATTCCAGAGGGCAAAGGAGATAGGATTACAACCAAGAATCACCTACCCAGCAAAACTGAGTATAATCCTTCAGGGGAAAAAATGGTCATTCAGTGAAATAGAGGACTTTCAAGCATTCCTGATGAAAAGACCAGAGCTGAATAGAAAATTTGACTTTCAAATACAGGACTCAAGTGGAACATGAAGAGGTAAACAGGAAAGAGAAATCATAAGAGACTTATTAAGATTGAACTGTTTACATTCCTGCATGGAAAGATGATATTTTATAACTCATGAGACCTTTGTCAGTATTAGGGTAGTTGGAGGAAAAAAATTATATGTATGTAGATAGATAGATAGATAGATAGATAGATAGATAGATAGATAGATAGATAGATAGATGGCATAGGGTGAGTTGAAGATGAAGGGGTCATATCTGGAGAATAAAATTAAGGGATAAGGGAGGATTATACTCAGAGAAGAAGAAAGGGAGAGGTAGAATGGGGTAAATTATCTCACAAAGAAAAAACAGAAAAGAAAAGTCTCTTACAGTGGAGGGGAAGCAGGGGAAGGGTGAGAGGGAATGAGTAAATCTTATTCTCATAGGATTTGGCTTAAGGAGGGAATAACAAACACATTCAATTGGGTTTGGAAGTTTGTCTTACCCTACGAGAAAATAGGGGGAGAAGGGGACAAGAGAGCAGGGGGATGATAGAGAGGAGGGCAGATTGGAAAAGGGTATAATCAGAAGTAAATACTTCTGAGGAGGGACAGGGTCAAAAGAAAGAATAGAATAAATGGGAGGGCAGAATAGGATTAAGGGAAATAGAGTTAGTTTTTCACAACATGTCTACTATGGAAGTGTTTTGCATAACTGCACACGTACAACCTATATTGAGTTGCTTGCCTTTTCAACGAGGGTGGGTGGGGAGGGAGGAAGAGAGAAAATTTGAAATCTAAAGTTTTTAAAACACATGTTTAAAAAAAAAGTTTTCACATGCTATCGGGAAATAAGAAATACAGGAAATGGGGTACAGAAGTCTATCCTGCCCTACAGGAAAACAGAAGGGGAAGGGGATAAGAGAAGGGGGGAGAGAAAGAAAAGAGGACAGACTAGGGGAAGAGATATTCAGAATGCATGCCATCTTGGGGTGGGGGGAGCGTGAGATGGGGTGAAAATTTGAAACTCAAAAACTTGTGGAAATGAATGTTGAAAACTACAAATAAATAAATTTATATTTAAAAAAATAAATAAATAAAAATTCCATTAAAAAATAGTATTCTGATGGTAATTATTCTTAAAGTTTATATCACAATATTATAAATAAAATAAAATTGAACCTAATTTAAGATTCAACTCCATTTTCTTTTATTTGTATTTCAGTTCAATTTACCAAACATTTACTAGCACCTAATATGTGCAGAGTCTCCTGCCCCTCGAAGCTTCCATCCTAATGCCCATCTGATACTCACTAGCTTTGTGAAACTGGACCACTCTGAGGACTAAACAGCCATGGCGTTATAGGGTTAGAGATGGAAAGGACTTGATTATAGGTCACTGCTTCCAACCCCTTCGTTTTCTAGATGGGGCAATCAAGGCACATGAAGGTAAAGTGATTTGTCCATATGGTCACCCAGTAGTAAGTGACAGGGTCAGAATTTGAACTCATGCCTTCCTTACTCAAAGTCCAGAGCTCCAGCCTTTGTACCACCTCGCATTCTGTAAACCTAAAGCATTAAATTTAAGCTATTATTACTACCGAGGAGATACAACCTATACACAAATGAGTAAATACAAGGTAATTGGAAGAGACCCGGCTGATGACTAGAGGGGTCAATAAAGGTTTCATAGGGGATGTGACACCCTGCACAGAGCCTCGAGAAGAAATGTGGAATTCTAGAAGTAGAGATAAAGAAGGCATGTCCAGAAAAGGAAACTGAGGCAGAGTGGTCAGAAAGTAAGACCTGGAGTCAGGAGACTTAGGCTCCCATCTTGCCTTGAACACTCACTAGCTCTGTGACCAAGGGCAAGTCATGTAAACTGAGCCTCAGTTTCCTCATCTGTAAGTTGAGTATCATAATACTTGCACTACCTACTTCATAAAGTTGCCTGTGAGGCAGTTTTCCAACCTTAAAGTGCTATATAAACCTGAGTTAGGAAACAGACCCAGATCAAGAACTGACTAGCCTACAGAATCATCTATCAGTTGCCTGAGGTAGGGTTAAGTGACTTGCCTAGGGTAACATGACTGGTGAGGCTAGGAGACAGGATTTGAACCAGGGTCACCCTGATTCCAAGACCAGGACTCTTCCCACTACACCATCTCCTTATTCATCTCTAATATTCATGGAAATGAAACAACAGCTCCCATTTATATCGCACAACGGCTCTCTGCAAACCCCTTGGATTCATTGCCAAGGGTCTACAAATCCATGCCCAAGCTCCAAGTTCAAATCTGACCTCACACACTTACTAGCTGGGTGACCCTGGGCAAGTCACTTACTTCTCTCTGCCTCAGTTTCCTCATCTGTAAAGTGAGCTGGAGAAGGAAATGATAAACCACTCCAGGATCTTTGCCAAGAAAACCCCAAGTGAGACATGAAAAGTTGGGCATGGCTGAACAACAAAAATAAGAGGGCGAAAATACAATGTATCCCAAAAGTCTCAGGGTAGTTTTAAGCTTCAGGTAGCTTTAGTGATTTGAGCTACTACTGCTAGTACTTAAGGTAATGAAGTGTTTGGGTATAAGCTGCCTTCAACCATTTCACAGAGCTCTGTTTGGGAGAAAACATTTTTCATCCAACCAGGAACCAAAGCTGGAAACTACATTGAAATAAATGGTTTCTGGTCGGTCTTTGTTGCTTTATAAGGATGTCTGGAGAGCAGCCGCTGTTAGGATTTAAAAACACAAGGGTTTTCTGCTAGTACTCAAAAGGGACTGTGAAATAGCACAGGCCTCCACTCGGAGACCAGGGATTCACAATGTGCGTTTGAGCAATAGCATACATAGAACTAACTCCCTGCGGCTCATTCCCCTGGACTCACGTCATTCTCATCATTCATGGCTGAGGGTTTTTGTGCCTGATCACTTATGCTGCTGAATATGGAGAAAGTCCACAAATGCATGGGATACAAGACAGCGAACACCCAGGTTTATTCACATTTTTTTTTCAATAGCACCTGCCTTTGGGGTGCTCAGATACACAAACAAGGATTTATTTGGTGTGACAGCGGATGCTTTCAGAGAAAATCCCAAGCCACAGACTGACCAGCAACAGCACAGCCCATCTGGGTTTGTTTGCTAATTTCATAACGCTGATTGGATTTAGGATCGCGAGGTCAAATGCTTAGAGATCATTTATCCTGTCCTCTTTATTTGAAAGGGGAGGGCCCAGAGAAGTTGGGACTTAGTCTAGGCCACACACTCAGCACTGAGATTCAAAGCTAGAACTTCTGCTTCCAGAACCAGTGCAAGTCCCATTTAAACACAAGGCCACCCCACACTCATCATTACCTAGAATAAGTGGGTCATCTGCTGTGGCTCTGTTGTTCACAATATAGATTTTTGTTGTTGCTGCAATGATATTTTTGGAAATTGGATCTGCTTCAAGCCCTATTCTTCACAAGCAAATCAATAAGCATTTTTAAATGACATGGTGTCAGGCACTGGGATAGCTCCTGATGATAAAAAACAAAATGAAAAAAGTCCCCCGCCCTCAGGGAGCTTACACTCAGTTACAGTGAGCCTTGTATTCGTCTGCTTAACAATCAGTTAGGAAATTTCCAAATTCTGGATTACGCATTCCAGTTCTCCTATTCTGCCCCTCTCCTCACCCTCCCACACTTCTCCACAGATTGTTATTCAGCAATCTCTCTTGGTTTCCCACCTGTTCACTGAACACATTTCCATCATTTCCTCTGCGACATCTCATCTCTTGAAGTTGCATTTCAGCTGGGTTTCATTCCCTTTCTCCCCATCTTCCTCTCCCTGGGCTTTCTCCCCAGGTGTGGACAATTCACAACATACATGAAGTGGGTTTAGACAGAATACAGTCTCTGCCACTTCCAATTCTTTGCTGATGCAGCCAATATTTGACAACAACAAAACCTCGACAATAATCATCTCTGCCATCACAATCTGGAGGGACGGGGGGGCAGGGGGGGAAGGAAAGAAGGAAGGAAGCTTCAATCTACTTTCCAGGAACAAAATAAAAGGGAATGCGCTAAACTGAAGGCAGTCTTTTTATTGATAAGTGGATTCCAATAATACACAAATGATCGCACAAAAAATACATCCTTTAAAAGGTGAGGAGAAGAAAACGCTGCCAACAAGGCCAGCCTCGGCCGTGCTTGCCTAGAGGTGGTTGACTAAGGGAACCCCATGAGACGGAAGCTCCTGGTGTAACTGACGGAAGAGCATGGCGCATCTGTTCCTCTCCTGGGCCTTCCCCAGCATGTGGTACAGCCTGGCCTGGAAGTAAAGAACGTCTCGGATTTGCTCTTTGCAGTCCACTTTTGCAAAGTAATCCTTGGCTTCGTTGAGGTTCAGGATGGCGGACTCCAAAGCTGATGAAAAAAGGGCAAAGTCCCTTTAAACTCGGGTAATTAGAGAAAGTCTCTCTACACAGCCCCATATACTTTTCAGATCTGAGATCGAGTTCTACCTGCTGTTTATTTCCCTGGATACATTTCTATTCCTCTTCCTCTTTAAAAGAAAATCTGACTCAGGTTTTTGATTTTTGAAGTGAGCTTCAAGCCCTCAATTTCTAACAGTACATGGCTCTGTGGAGGATACTCATTTATTTACTTTAAAATCTCCAACCCCAATACTTCTATAAGCACTGCCAGCCTTTTGTGAAAATCTAACAGAAGTTTGTGAAGACGGTGCAGGACATCTCCCCTCCTACTGACAGCCAAATTGTAGAGACTGGCTGGAAGGGAGCCCCCCGCAAGGGCTTTGTCTTGACTCTACCTTCGACTTTCTTCTGGGGTTCGTAGGCATTAGCAGAAGCAACCTGGCACTTGGCCACCAGGAACATAGCACGCCCTTTGTCCAACACAGCCCCATCTGCCAAGATAGGCTCAATGGCCATGTGGAGGATGTTCAAGGCCTGCTCAGGAATGCCAAGGATAAGCTGGGGGAAAAAACACATCATCAGCCCTAAGTGGTCATTCCATAGCTTTGCTTCTGCTCTACTAAGTCACTGTGTTCTTCCCCAAACAAGGATCCTCTGGCTCAGACTGCCTCTGAAAACACACCACTACTCTGCATGCCCACTTTAAGAAGACCAAATAGGAATGTGTTCACTTAAATAATGGAGAAATGGGGAAGGAAGGATGGAAGGTCATTCACACTGCAAAAAGGTACTTGGCTTTACAGGAGGAGGCTGTGTACGTGTCCTCCAGGGAATCCAAAATGATTTGATTTTGAGAAGCACAGGTGAGATGCCCCAACATGGTTTCCTCATTTCACACAAGGACACATCAGTCATTTGGCCTTGAGTTCTGTGATATACATGAACCACTAAAGGAGACGTGATAGGCTGTCCACATGCTACAAGGGTGACCAGGGAACGCTGTAAGTCCTACAGGAAGCCCTCCTGCATGGGATGAGAACTGCTCCAAGTAAGAAGAGCAATGTGCACTGGTGAAGAGGCAACCCGGAGAGGAAAAGCAGGGATCCCTGAGATCATCAAAGCTCTGTGATAAACCAAAGTCTGTCTCTGACGGGGAAGAGACTAAGTGATTCCAGGAGATGAAGGAGATGAGGGCGGTGTGTGCCAACCCAGCGAGTCCAGGCTCACGCTGCCCAGAGCACCAGCCTCGTCGGGCCAGCACCCCTGCCCAGCCGCCACCCACAGGGAGTAACATCTCAGTGTCACAGAGGGCAACGGATCCCTAGGCCCCCTGCACCAGTGCATTCTGTGAAACAAGAGGTCAGCTCACCTGGGAGAAAGCCAAGCTCAGCACGGTCTCTGAGGCCAGGTACTGCAGCCGGTATTCTCTGGACAGGGCCAACGCCTGCAGCAGGACGGGCAGGGCGATGGTGTGGCAGGAGGCCCTCCAGTACAGCTCCGCCACGGCCAGCAGAACGCTGTCCAGAAACAGGAAAACAAACAGGGAGCTGATGCGCGAGAGTCGCCCAATGGTGAGGCCTCACCTCGGCCCTCGGCAGCCGCGGCCTCCTCTCCCAAGTCAGCACTTGTTCGTGCCTCACTCTTGGGCTTTTTCTGCTTTTTGTCAATAGAATGATCTTGGTTTCATCTTCACTCAAAGCTGATTTCTGTCCCCCTCTACTGAAACGGAAATCTGGCATCTTGTTTACAAAACGCATTTATTCCAAATGAGTTTAAGAGGACGCTGGAAAGTGACCGAGGTCACTTCGTCAGGGACCAACATCATTTAGCCGAAATCCAAACAGCCATTTCCTCTCTAAAAGTAGTTTACAACCAGCATCTGTTTGGCTAACAAGCTCTGCCCTTCAAAATCCTGTTTGCAACTAAACGGTTTAGACGGGAGTGAGTGCTTTCTACTTTAATGCCCACCTCAGACGTGCTGAGATTTGAGCAGACGTCCAACAGGCCTCTTACCTGATCACCATTTCTGTGTTCTTCATCTTCTGACAATGGACCAACAACTTCTGCAAAAGCTTGTGAGCCTCCGACGTCTGGTTCTGGGCTTGGAGCACAATCGCCTTCCTACACCAAAGAGAAAGAAGCATGACGGCGTCAGGGATCTTCTCCAAGGGCAGGGGCTGTCTCTTCAGGCTCCTCTTGGTGACACCGCTCGGCTCTGCCCAGAACTCGGCCGGCACGGAGCGCTGCTGATGTCTCGTCAGAACCTCGTTCTGTAAAGCAGACTCCTGCCTTGGTGCTATCTGGAAAATACTGGAGCTACGCAAAGCTTCTCCGCGGGCACTAAGCGCCTGTATGGCACTCGGCGCATATCGCAGATCGTCCTGGGCCAAGGATCTTGAGGAAGGCCTCCGGCACACCAGACGGGCCCCATGGAGGATTTATGAAGCACATGGACAAGAGGCTCACAGGATGACAGGAGGATACCTTCACAGGAAATAGCCTTTCCTTGAGATCATGGACAGTCACTATTCTCCATTCTCAGTAACATACGATTTATTTTTAAGCCAAGTTTTACTGATACCTTTTGTTTTTCATCATCATTATTTCTAGCTATACCCTTCTCCTTATGCCCAATACCGACCCCTCCCATGTAAGTAAAAATGACTGACTCTACACACCCAGCTGTCTCTCGGCAGAGAGGAGCCATGCTTCCTTATCTGCTGCAGTTACTCAGAATCTAGCCTCCCGGTAGGGCTCCTTTCATTTTCGTTACGTGTTCATTGTATACACTGTTCTCCTGTTTCTGCTCCCTGCACTGAGCAGCAGCTCCTATATCAACCTTCCCACATTCCTCCGAGTTCCTTGTGGTCACCTGTGTGACCACACAGTAACATTCCATTACATTCAAATATCACATTTTGTTTAGCCATCGCCCCAAAGGCACCTACTGTGAGTTCTTTGGCCTTACAAAGGTCCTACTATGAACACTGTCATCTCATATGTCATCTCTACTCTTCTGACTGTGCCTCCCTCAAGCACATGCCCAGTGGTATCAGAGCAGGGTCAAAGAGTATAAAGAATCTAGGGACTTCGGTTGTTCATTCCAAATCATTTTTCAGAACAGCTGGACCAGGGGCAGCTAGGTGGCACAGTGAATAGAGCACTGGCCCTTGAGTCAGGAGGACCTGAGTTCAAATCCGGCCTCAGACACATGACACTTGCTAGCTGTGTGACCCTGGGCAAGTCACTTAACCCCAATGCCTAGAAACAAAACAAAATTGGTTCAAAACAGTTGGACTAATTCACAGCTTTGCCAACAGTGTATTAGTTATATACTACACAATCTGGCATGGTATCATGCCAGAAGATATTGGGGTTTTGTACACAAAAGTATTTTATTCAATTTTTTAAAATTTTTATTAAAAAATTATTTAACACGTATATGTCTTCCACCTAGTGCTGGGCTTAGAGTTAGGAAGATCTGAGTTCAAATACTGCCTGTGACATTTACCAGCTGTGTGACCTTGGGCAAGTCACAACTTGTCTCAGTATCCCCATCTGTAAAGTGAGGATAATAACAGCACTTACCTGCCAAGACTTTTGTGTGGACAAAATGATACAATATTTATAAAGTACCTTGCAAACCTTAAAGCACAATATAAATGCCAGCTAGTGAGTATTGTTAACGCAAAGGTCACGAAGGGTAGGGACAATATCTATTCCGCCTTTGTGCCTGCCGAGTACCAACAGAGCAGTGACATGCAGTGACACACAGAGGCCGCCCGGCACGCATTTGTTCACTGGTGAGGAGAGGTGCTTCTAAAAGGTCTCAGCCAGAGCTCCCCATCAGTATGAACTAGAAGGGGCAGGGAGGAAAGCAGAATCCATTTTTAATGTTAATAAAATCTGCAGTACATTATTAACTGGTCATTAACAAAGTATCTCTACAAGCAAAGCCAGAATCAAGTGTCAAAACTTCCTCAAGAGTGGGCTCGAGGACGCCCGGTCTCTTACCTATACGCCCCCTCTAGGCTGCTCAGGGCCGTAATCCCTGTCACGAGAGAATCTGCCATGTGGTATCTGCCATCATGCATAGCTCTTCCAAACTGTATTTTCTGCTCACAGAGCATCCACAGCTGGAGGGCAAACAAACAAACAAAAACAAGCCCCCACAAGCTGTTTGTTAAGAAAGAAGCAGCAGATGCTCCCTGCTTCCTCCTGCAGCGTGAAATCACTCAGCACGGGGCCCGCTGGCCCTCCTGACCCAGTTCACTCGCACCCGAGCCACAGGCTCCATCGCAGTGGGCGTGACCACAGGCCCAAAGGTAAATCTCTCCCTCCGGCCGCCTTCAGTGCTGATTCTCCTACCTGCCGGCTTGGTTCAGTGACACGGACCAGGAGACAAGGAGCTGAAGCAGCGACTACCACGCCAGCCTGCCTTGCCCAGGACCAAGCGTGGGCTCCCACCCAACACGGGGCTTAATAACACCACGCTTCATGAAGAGAGCTCAGCAATTTTCTAATTTCTAATTGGACTCTAAGAGTCCATCTGAGTGAGAAGCCCAGGGACCAGCTGTCAGGAGGACAATAACTGTGTGCTAACAGGAAGTTCTTCCAATTCTAGGTTCTCAGAGAAGGAAGAAAAACCAGCCCCTTCAGACTCTCCCAGCTCCCTCAGCACCAGCAGGGAGAGATCAGGGTGACACCCAACAGGCCTTGAGATCTTTATAAAGTCTCCTCTTCTGGACAGCACAGAAGGCCCCTTGGCTAGGGAGGCTGCCAAGCCTGAGCCAGCAGCACACAAGGCAGAAGCACTCCTGGGACCCCAGCCACCCCAGCCCACCTCAGGCCCTGCCAGCCCCTGAAGAGATACCACTTAGGACAAGTTAGACCCTGTCCCAGCCTCCTTCTCAGTCTGCTCCTTTGCTTTCCAGAATCAGCACATCTCCCACAGAGCAGTGTCAGAGAGATGCTACAGAGGCAGCATGGGGGGGGGTCTGGGGAAGGCCATGGGATGTGAAGCCAGAAGCCCAAGGGGTCCCTGCTCAGCTCGCTCACCTCCACATTGCTCCTCTGGAAAATGAGGGGACTGGAGCAATCCCCCCAAGGGCCCCCTTAGCTCCTCCATTACTATTCCCTCCCATTGGTCACAAACACCCAGACATTAGAGGACAGCCCAGGTGAAGGACGGGGACTGCTCGTATCGGAGAAGATCATACAGTCCATGGAGTCAGCCACTTAACACCTCGTTCATGCTTTTCAGGGGGACACGTGGCGGCCTCTGATGCCATCCACGGGGCCAGTTACCTGTGCATGCTGACTATTTGGTGGGAATCTTTCTTTTAAGTGCTCCAGCACTTCAGAAGCAGCCGCCAAACAGCCCTGAAAGAAGAGAAAAGCCCTGTTCAGTTAGTCAGCTGGGCTCAAACCTCTGACTCAGCAACCTCGTGACCATGCACAGATGTAGCTGCTGAGGAGGGCCAGCTGTTCTGGGCACGAGAACTGACAGCACCTCGAGGGATCGGCTCCAAGAGGCCCCTCCCCGGCAGACGCCATCGATGCCCACGTCTGGGTGCACACGGACATCTCCTCCTTTCAACATGCCCTGGCCCTCACTGTTAATACATCCAAAGGCGTGAATTGAAATGTCCCCTGCTTGGCCCTGACCTGGAAGAATACGGATTATGCTCAAGCTGGATAACAGCTCCAGTCACTTGGGTCTGCCATGAAGGGCTAAGTGGGTTGTATGAGGAAAACTAGCAGAGATAACCCCCAAGACTGGCACACATACCACCTGGCACCACAAAACTGTTCCCACTGGCCACAGCCCCCTCTGAGACTGCTTCTACTGGCCACTGAGAGTAAGCTCCTTGAGAACACGGATTGCTTCTGGTCTTTCTCTGCATCCCCAGCATTGTGCTCAGTGCCCATGGTAGGTAGCTGGGTAGCAGAGTGGGTAGAGTTGTGCTTGGAGTCAGGAAAACCTGAGTTCAAATCCAGCCTCAGACACTTACTAGCTGGGTGACCTTGGGCAAATCACTTAACCCTGTTTGCCTCAGTTTCCTCATCTGTCAAATGGGGATAATAATAGCACTACCTCCCAGGGCGGTTATAGGGATCACGTGAGACATGCATTATAAAGTGCATCACAAACCTTAAAGAGCTCTATAAACTCTAGTTATTACTGTTAACTGTTAGGAAGAAATGCCTGTTGACCCAACTTGTTGATCTGGCCCCAGACAGGAGAGGACCAGGAAGCTACACCCATTCAGGGCTCCTGACAAGCAGGCTTTCACTCCGCATTAAGATGACATGCTTCACTCTCAATGGGCCGAGGAGTCTGGGAGCTGCAGTTTACAACAGGCAAGCCTCAATTTTCCCCCCAAGTGTTCACCTAAATAAAACCATGTCAATCACCCACCATTACATGGAAAATCAATTCCAGACTGCATCATCAGAAATACACGTGTGTCTATTCAGAAAAGAAGGCACTTGGTAAAGTGGAGACCAATTAATGGACAATCAAGTAGCTCCAGCGGTAACCATCCATACATATCAAGAGATGGAGAAGGAGGACCCTCGCATCTCAGGCTGGGGATGCCCCACCCCCACATGGAGTATTTACAGGAGGATGTCCACTAGAGTTGCTCGTTAAGATCCCACATCAAAGATTTGCCCCCAAGAAGACTTGAGTTCAAATCCAAGTGACTTTGACTAGCTAAGCAGCTGCAGGCTAGGGTCACTTCGTCCATCACCTGTCCAATGGGGCCCCCACATGAGCTCCTGCTACCCAGGGCTGCTGTGAGGAGGGACATTCAAACGCAGTTCCTATGACCTGAGGCCCAGATCCAGCTCTGGCTTTGTCCCTTTCTAAGATGTGTGATGTCTCTGGGCCTCCATTTCCTCATCCGTAAAATGAGGATGATATTACTAGGACTCATTACTTCATGAGGCTGTTCCGAGGATCAAATGAAATGATGAAATGAAATAAAATGTAAAGCCTAAGTACCAAATAAACATGAACTAAAAAGAAAGTATAATGACAAGTGGGCAAACAGATTCTCCCGGCACAGCTACCTTTTTCTTTTTCCTTTTTTTTTCCTTTGGTGAGGCAACTGGGGTTAAGTGATTTGCCCAGGGTCACACAGCTACTAAGTGTCATGTGTCTGAGACTGGATTTGAACTCACGTCCTCCTGACTTCAAGGCCACAGCTCTATATACTGCGCCACCTAGCTGCCCCTGCAGCTACCTTCTTCAAAGGACCTATCCATGATAACAGGGGAACCGCAGTGATTCTAATTCACAGTGAAGTAGTCTACCTGTCATTATACTAAGGAATATTCTTGATACTCTGGCTTTTTTTTCTCTTGCATTTTTCTCTTTGAAGTTTCTAAATTTTAAATTTCCTTCCTTGCTATCCTACAAAGATGAGGAGGAAAAAGGAAGAAGCTGGAATAACCCAGTTGATGCTCTCCACGTGCGGTGTTACAGGGCAGCCTGGGGCGTCCCAGGCCAGCCCAGCTCTGAAGCTGCCCCAGAGGGGCCCAGCTGGATTAGAACTCAGGCCTGCACACAGGGGAAGGAGCCCGCAGCTGGGAATATTAACAGGATCCAAAGGACACAATCCCTTCTCAGGGTCATTTTCACTTAACCCTTAATGAACCACAGGAACTTAAAAGAACTAGACGTGGGTGAAGCATCAAGGTTTTTGTGTGAATGAGGAGTTAAGGGAAAGTCATAACCTTTAAAAAGCAGTCTGCTAAGCAGAATAAAAACTCTTTGTGCCTTGCACAACTCAGGAAAGATATGCTTGGCCAGGTTTCATTTCCCTAGTTAAGGAGGAAAAAAAATTCTGCCTCCAGACTATTTCAGAAGTGACCTGGAGATCAGACCGAATCCCTAAGGAAGCTCTCCCAGCACAGGCTCCGGTGCCAATGTGCCCATTAGGGCCATAAATCGAGTACAGGAAAAGGCTGAATGGGGAGCCGTCACTGTAAACATTCACAGAAGAGGACAGTGAGAGAAGGCTCCCGGCTGGCTGCGTGTTCTCAAACCAGAAAGCTTGAGGGATCCCGCCTTGGCTCTGGGAAAGACTGGTTGATAAAAACACACATGGAAAACATCAGCTCATAACTCATTATCAAGCTGTTGGAAAAATCGTAAAGCACTAAAAATATTTTTAATAGTGGGATTTCTTTGGGGACTTCCCAGCAGGGTGAAAGCCACTCTGAGCTCTTGAGCACAAATTGGGGTCAAGTGAGTGCCACGGTATGTTCAGGCCAACGACAAGGCCGACTGCTGAGGAACAAAGGAGAAGGATGTGGCCTGTAGGTTGGGAAGCAGGGGAATGCTTGGTGAAACGCTCAGGCCAAAAGGAAAAGACGTTTCTTTGGCTTCTTTCTTATGAGAGAAAATTATTTCTGAGGTTCCAGTTCCCTTTAACACAGCCCAGGGAGTTGCAGGTGATTCCCCTTTTCCCCCAAACCTCTTTCAGGAGAATGTGATAATCCATGCTTAAATTCTGAATTAAAACCTGCCTCCATCCCAGGGTCCCCGACGCAGTCCCCCATGGCCACACCCTGGCCTGCAGTTCCTCCTCTCCCAGGCCCTGGCTTCCCTGTGGCACCCAAGAGAACATGAGACCCTGCATTCAGCTGCTCCCCTCCCCACAGACGGGCTCTGGGACCTCCACCACCCACACTGAATGCCCACCGAGGGCAGGCCCCACACTCACCTGCTCAGCGTGGAGCTCGGCCAGGTGACACAGCACGACCGCAAATGATTCGGTGTTGTTCTGCTGCACGCCCAGGTTCAAGGCCTCCAGGCTGTTCATGCTAAGCAGCGTCTGGGCCTGCTGGAGAGCCATGGTGCTGTATAAGAGAAGGACCAGAACTGAGCTCCCACGGCGAGCCCAGGCTGCTCCTCCCTCGACCCCGGCTGGCTACCAGCGCCCACAGCCGGGAACCTGGTCACACGTGGCTGATCTGTTGGGGAGTTCAGCTGACGGCCTTTTCTTTCTACTTTTGGTTACGAGGAACGGTTCTCTGGGTAAGGACCAGGGGAGGAATACATTTAGAAATAAAGGTGACATAAAAAACAAAAAATACCAGCATGTTTTTCAAGTGGAAAGACACGTCTAGCTCCCTTTCTCCTGGCTTTTGGGGTGTCATGTTTAGGTCTGCAGTGGCCCCAGAGCCCTGCTCTTTTGCCCTCTGCCACAGACTGGGGGGGGCGGGGCGGGGAGGGGAGCTCAGTCTAGACTTATTGTCCCTCCCAAATCCCAACTCCACGCTTTAAATGCAGTCATGTAGCGGGCGTGTCTGGGCCAACACAGCCTTGGTGCCATTCTGTCTGAGGCTCTCCTGGAAACGAGAATGTCTGCTAGGCAGAGCAGCTCCTGTCCTCCTCACAGCAGAATGTTGGCAAAGGGAGCACAAACAGGCCAGGTGAGATAAGGGGTGTTTGCGAAAAACAGTAAACGGTGCAGTGCAGAGAGCAGGGCAGAAGCTGGCCCATCGGGCTTCAGGCTTCCATGGCTGGTTAGACTATCACTCCCGAGTGACAGGAAACTGAGGGGTAAACAAGCCATCAAAGGGGCTTCCCTGGAAAGACGTGAGCCGCTGAGGACGCAGCCTTCTTTCTCCCTGCAACGAGGATGGGGCAGGGAGTCAGCTCCCTGAAGGACGGAGCTCAGTCTGGACCACGACGGACCACAGAATGGTGGAGGGAGTTCTTTGAACCATGAGGATCTTGTCATCCCCTCTCTTCCCCTGCGAAGGAGGCCCACTTCCCACAGCCCCTGACTCATGCTGACCTCCCCTGAAGGGAGGGAAGGGAACAGATGCCCCACAGACCCACACTGACTCCACAAGTATGGGGAGGCAGACCTCCGAACCCTGCCCAGAGCAGCACACACCTGCGCCCGTAGAGCCTCCAGATGGCAGTTTTCTGGGCAATGCTGATGTCGATGAGTTCCGACAGGCTGTGCTTCCAGTGCAGAAGATCGGAGTCCTTCAGGGCGTCCATCAATTTGTTTGCCGTCTTCCCAGCGAAAGCTCTTTGTTGAACTAAGGACTGGATCCCAAGGGATGCTAAATACTAGGGAAACATACCCACGAGCCAGGGTCAGGCTACAGAACTGCCTTCACTGGAGGGCACTCTTAACACCCGATGGGATTAAGAAAAATATCACTTGAGAGCCCAAATTGTATTCCTGAAAAAGTTAAGTGTAAGGAGAAAAGATGCCATGAGATCACATTTTCTCACTGATGTCCATTATAATTTCCAGCAATCTATTCTCAGTTGTAGGGGGCTGCAGGAGGACTCCAACAGAGGATGAGAATCACTGCAGAGCTTTCTTTTTCTTGCCTTCCCAATGGGTGCGAGAGGGAGAAGGAAGATTTGAAACTGAATACAAAATAAAATTGAATTAAAAATAAAAAAAAGAAAGTCACTGGTCAACACTCTTTTCTTTTTCAGGAGAAGTCCCAGGCATCATTGGTTCTCCTACAGAGTTGCTGCTGGAAAGGAGGCCAAGGGAAGCCAAGGTGGTGTTATGAGCACTCGCTCCTTCTACCCGACTCAGCCCCAGAGTAGTAATGAGCATTGTCACGCGCTCTCTGGGACCTAAGCAGTGCAGCCAGAAGGCGCCCGGGGACCAAGAGGTGGGCAGAATTCTCCAGCTAGGATCCTCCACCCTACAAAACGGATAGAGGACACCCCATACTAATGGTCAGAGATTCCTGGCCAAAAGCCTCTTTTCGGTGGTCACTCAGACTCTGCTTGTGGGGAAGGGAAGGCCAGCAGTCCTGGTACATATGAAGGCAGAAAGGAAGCAAGGTTGTACCTATGAGATTCCTCCCTGAAAGGGAGGGCATGCCAGGCAGCACAGGGGGAGGGGAGGACCTGAGCCCCAATTCCACAAAGCCAAGAAAGGACAAGGCCCAGTGTCTGGAGGGGAGATAAGGCTGGGCAATGACAAAAATCCAAGCAGGGACTTTTTAAAATGAATTTCCCTCCCCTGACACTGGAAGTAGGCAATATGTCACTGGTTCCTGACATAATTAAATGAGCAAAATATTATCCTTTCTTATCTTTACTAAGTGTTGTGCTAAGCACTGCTGACCTGTTACCATAAAACTAAAGAAACCTAAAAATAAATAAAAAAGGCTAAAACTAAAGAGACTCCGAGGGGCTAGCAGAGTGGACTGAGTACTAGGCTTAGAGTCAGTGAGAACACTTACTAGCTGCGTGGCCATGAGCAAGTCACTTAAATGCTCGGAGCCTCGGTGTCTCCATCTCTAAAATGTGGACGGCAGCACCTGCTTCACAGCAGCATTGTGAGGGCCAACTCTAATGCACCAGACACAGCAGCTGCATTGTTACTGTTGTTTTCAGATTCACAATTGACAACTGAGCTCCCTCAGTGAGAAAGCGCAGAACTGGCTAAGTCTGCGTGTTACTTTTTCGAGTCCAGGCTAAACCAGCAACAGAATAAAACCAATCATGGAGGCAGTCACTGCGTCAGTCCAGGAGGGAGCAAAAACACAAACAAAGGCTCTGCTCTTCTGCCTCCCAAATGTAACAAGCCAGACTGGGAAAGGGCCTTACCGGTAATCCAAAATGCACAGCTTTCTTCACTGAATGTTCCAACAGAACACAGCTATCTGATCTCTTCTGCTCCAAGATATAAAGCCAGCTCTGGGGGGGGGGAATCAAGGAAATGTGTCACTGCAATGAAAATGGCTAAAAAGATGCTGAAATGTCATTGTGAAGTCAAACGGAAGTATTAACAAGGGATCCAAGAAATCCTCAGAAACATCTGCTTTCAGAAATAAGAGCCCAAACAAACCTGCCCTGACTACATCTGGGCCAACAGACTGGCACTAATGACCCTTCAGTGATCCCCCAACAACCAGCGATGGGTGTTACTGAGAAAAGCAGAAAGCCTCTACGGGGACCTTTGGCGGAAGGCCCGAGGCTCTAGGGTGAGTGCCGAGTGAGTTCTGTGTTCAACACAAACTCACGCTTGCTGACTGCGGGTCTTGTAGGACATTGTCTCAGCCAGTGTCTGGGTTTGGCCTATGCCAAAGGATTAACCTTGACAGTGGAGGCTAGGTCAAAACATAAGTCATAAAAGCTGGACATGAGTGTATTACAGAGGTGCGTTTGGGTCTCCCGGGCCTGTTTCCATGATTTTGGTAACTCGGACCAGGTGAGTCTCACACCTGCCACCACTTGGGAGGCATCCTTATCCCACCTGCCTCAGATGGGGGGGGGGGCAGGCTGTCTTACCAAGCAGTGCTGCAGACACACATGGTCGTTGGACTCCTGGGCAATCCTGATGGCCTCCTGCAGGGCAAGCTCTGCCTGTTGGCTAATGACAGACTACGCATTACTATCCCCTTAGCGGTAAACGCGTACAAGCCACGTGAAGAAACTGTACCAGGAACAGAACGCCACGGACGTCCTCCTCGTACAGCTCTGATATCTGGCCTCCTCCTGGCAGGGCCCCCGGCGCCGAGGCACGCCGCTTTGTGACAGCGATGTCAGGACACAGGAAGGTGCCCCTCGCTTACCCAGATGGGAGAAGTCACTGCCCCCTCCCCCACCTTAGCCCCAAAGATTTCCATTTACAAACCCCATTTCTGTCCTCTGACCTAGACTGTACTCCTCCTCCCCCACCCCTCCGAGTCTTAGACATCCTTCGGAGGTCCTCAGGACCTACCCAGTTGAAGCCCTTAAGCCCACAGACCTGAAGTCTCTCGAGTTGGCCGCTAGGTGGCGCAGTTGCTAAAATCATAACAGCTCCTCCATTTCTATCCCAAGTTAAGATCTGACAAACATTTTAAATGCAGTGCTTCCTGTGACCCTCACAACCACCCTGGGAGGAACACTGGGCCCGGAGGCAGGCAGACTGGCACTCCAGTCCGGCCCCAGATACTTCCTGGTCGTATGACTCTGAGTCAATCGCTTAACCTCTGCTGCCTCAGTTTCTTCACCTATAAAATAGGGATAAGAACAGCGCCCACCTCCCAGAGCTGTTTAAGCAGCTTAAGTAATGCTAAAACGAAAGACAACAAATAGTAGTCCCAGAGCTATAGTGAGGAGCAAATGAATTATTTGTGAAGTGCTTCCCAAACGTCAGAAGGCTACAGAAAGCGGCCCTCAGTTCTGCCATTATTACTCATGGCTGGATCCACGGTCTCTCCAAACAGACCATCAGCTCCCTGAAGGCAGGCATCATAGCTTGTGATTTTCTCCTCTCTCCCAGTTCCCTACATGGTGAGTATAAATAGGTACACAGCAGGTGCACCGATACACAGCGATCTGAAAGGGGCATTTCTGCGGCTGAAGTCTACTTCAGAAAAGATTTAAGTAAAAATCTTCCAGAAGAACATGTTATTGTGGGGACCCCCCATTTGTTTTAACCCTGAATTCAGCACTGCCCTCAGCACTAAGCCACTGAAGAAACTCCCCGGGTCAGGAGCAAGAACACGAGGTTGGGGTCTTCCCTAGAGCCCCCATGGGGAGCTGCAGAGTCGAGGTGGTGGAATGAACGAATCTGAGCCTGGAAGAAACAGAGCCCAGCCCTAGAGGCTGGCTAACGGTCCTTATGGGGCAAGGCTTTCGGCCACCTGAGCTAGCGACGGCTTGGTGAGACGCTGAGAGCCTCGCCGTTCACGGGCATCCCTCTGGACACGACTTCCAGCCCTCCACCGGGGCTGGCCCCAGCCTGTCAGACCAACGCCTGAGCAATGCCAGGTGGTGGCTGCCTTGGCACTGCCATGTCAGAAAAATCCAGAGGCCGCAAATCTCCGTGACAGTTCTCTGGACACCTCCCCATCTCTGACAAGGCCAGTCATAAAGACGAACCAAGGCTCAGGAAGTGGGAAAGAATTTTAATAAAAAATGTCACTCTTTACCCACAGCAACGGACACGCTCACTGCCTAAGATGCCTCTGCCATGACAGATGCTTCACAATGAAAGTCTCTGAACTGCCAGAAGGCTCTGGGCAAGTGTCCAAACCCCAGTCAAGGCCATTTCTGCACTAGACAAGGCCACCCCTGGGGCCTATGCAATCTCCTGCCCTGGACTTCTGCAGAGATCATAGGTCTGCCCTGGATGGAGCGAGACGAACAGCTAAAGGGATTCCAGACCCTTCTGGCACTGTGACTATGAATGTGACAGAGCAGGAGAGTAACCACGTGGGACCCAGACCAAGGCAGTGACCCTCAGCACAGACACGAAGGCCACCTGGGCAGTGATCGGGGCAAGAGCTTGAAGCAGCGTCCCTCTGCTGCGGGAGCAGGGGGTAGGGGGCACCCACTGACCAGTTCTATCCCTGAGCTTTTCCTCCATGTTCACGAAGGGAGAGGGAGGTGCAGCAACTTACTAGTGTCCGAATCGGCAGTGCAAGGCAGCTAGATTGAGAGCAGCGTATCTCAAGCTTCGCCCGTACCCTTCATCCCCATTGCTTTTGCTCTCTGCGCCAGTGAGAATCAGGCGGTCAAAATAATGGAGAAGACTGTGCGTAGAACTGAAGACATCTTGGACCCGAAGACTGTTTAAGTAGCTTAAGTAATGCTAAAACGAAAGACAACAAATAGTAGTCGTAATTTTCTCCCTCTTGTGGAAATCATTTTTTAAAGACATGACAGAGGAATGGAATGATCCCTGGCCACCACAGCACACGAGACTCGATTACCACAGTAAGAGGATGACGGTCCTTCCTAATACCTCCCCCTCTATGCCAAAGTAAACAGTGGTCACAATTCACACAGCTCCTGAACGGCTCAGATCGAAAGACTTTCAAAAATAATTTCACACTGAAATCCACATCACATCACAGACATGTTAGGGCCCGTGTGCTTAAAGACATATGATTCATAACTTTTTGAAATTCTATTTAATTAAGAAGAACCAAGATGAAAAACAGTTGTACTTAAGAATAGTCTGAGTTAAAAATAACATTTACAATGTGGTACTGTGGCCAGTCTGATTCCAGTTCAGAAGATGGCTTGTAGAAAGACTTACCGCTTCAGCAAAATCAGGATTAAATTTCAACAAGTTATTCAATTCTTTCTGCAAAGAAGCAGGAGTGAGAGCTTTTGTCTCATCATTCTTTAATAAAGACGCCTGAAATGAAAAGAATAAATCAGCTTCAAGAAAATGCAGAGAAATGTCAGCTGAGGATCACTTAATGATCCTTTTCTGCAGATGTGGGCTCAGCTAAAGTTTCATAAGGAGGAAGGTCAGTGACCTTAAGTTTCACATGTGGAAAATCAGCTGTAGATTAAGTGATGACAGGACTTGACCTCAGACTACACACGACAGCCCTTTACCCAGACGGTTTTTCCAATTTGGTAAAAATACTGCTGGGATCTCTTCTCTGGGTCTCTGGTGGCTAAACTGTACAGAGATACCAGCAGAGAGCACAATATCCCAAGTTAAGGAAGGCAAGGAGGGGAAAGCCCACAGTGCCTCCCCTAAGGTGGGCCACCAGAGCAGGCTGGGCCACTGTTCTGAGGCATCCCCTCCACCTGGGGCTGCACCGCTGAGGCGGCACAGGAGGCATCTTTCCTGTGTGAGTGGAAAGAAAGTACAAGCAGGGAAACCCGAAGGCTGTCAGAGGAAGATGTCCATCAGTGCAGATGGCATCACTGGCTGGGGATTAAGGGAAATGCTGATGTCTCATGTGGATTTGTGGATAAACCCGGCGATGTTAAGAGCTACTCAGAATCGCCACGTGGAAGGGGCAGGGAAGAAGGTCAGGCTGCCTTGCTACAAAGTTAACGCACCTGTTGGGAAAGGAAATATTCAGCTTGTTTCTGGGAAAGAGGCCCACTGCAAGAGATCTCCTCCTCTCTGAAAAAAGAAAATGACTGTGAACATGAGGAAGGGCGGCAGACACCACGACAGCAAACACAGTAACACTACCAAAACCAGAGAGGGTTTCCTACGGGATGATCTCAAAACTCTTCCTAGCAGATTTTCTTTCAATTCCTAAATAAGAGTCAGGATGAAAAACAGGGTAAGAATTTCCTACTTTGGAATGACGGTCAGATCTAGAAGCAGATTCAGAGCCCTTCCTCCCCGGAGAGGCAGCATCACATAGCGGGACAAGCCTTAGAGAGAGACCTGGGTTCAAGTTCCGGCTCTAACTCTGGCTGAGCCCCTTGCTGTCCAGAGCCATTACAAACATACTCTATGACACAGACCCCCCTTGATTCTTCCTCGACGGATGCTCTCTCCCCCTCCCCACAGTAGCTGTTACAAACCTCTTCATCTCTCCTCAAGCCTCCTGGAGCGGCCCCTCCCCACACCCTCTGGGCAGAGGGCCTCACCTCATTCTTCGATGCCCCTTGCAAGCTTCCCCTCCTCCCTCCCCAACTACACATTCCGAATGACCTCAACAGCCCCCACTCAATCATCCTTTGCCCCAATGACGCAGGAAGAGGGGCCCATTTCCATGCCAAGGCCAGCCTCTGATCCCATTCCCTCCCGTCTCCCTGGGGAGCTCGCACCCAGGACCACATCGTTGCTCTAATCTTCAGTCTTCCTCATCCAATAGGGCGCCTTCCCGATTGCACACAAACATACCCAGATCTCCAGCCTAAAAAACTCTTCTCCTGACCCCACCGCTGATCCTCCCACACAACAGCAGTCTTCATTTACATAGCCAAATTACCTTCTGCTCCACAAAAAGAGCTGCTATCAATATTTCTGTATGTGCAGACCCTTTTCCCTCGATCTCTTTGGGACACAGACCTAGTGGTGGTATTGCTGGGCCAAAGGGTATGCACAGTTTGACTGCCCTTGGGCATAGTTCTGAATTGTTTTCCAGAACAGCTGGATCAGTTCACAACTCCACCAACAGCACATTAGCATGCCAATTATTCCACACCCTCTTTGACATTTATCGTTTCCCTTTTCTGTCATATTAGCCAATCTAGGTATGAGGCGGTACCTCAGAGTGGTTTTAATTTACCCTAATCAATAGTGATTTGGAGCATTTTTTCATGACTCTAGAGAGCTTTGATTTCTTCTGTTTTTGTTTCGTTTTTTAGTGAGGCAACTGGGGTTAAGTGACTTGCCCAGGGTCACGCAGCTAGTAAGCATCAAGTGTCTGGTCTGAGGCCAGATTTGAGCTCAGGTCCTCCTGACTCCAGGGCCGGTGCTCTATCCGCTGAGCCTTTGATTTCTCTGAATGCTGCCTGTTCATATATTTTGACCATTTATCAATTGTGAATGACTCATTTTCTTACAGATTTACTCAGTTCTCTATATACTGGAGAAATGAGGCCTATATCAGAGAAACTTGCTGTAAAAATATTTCCCCCGTTTTTCTGCTTTCCTTCTCATCCTGACTGCAGAATTGGATTTGTGCAAAAACTTAAGTTACACTTGACACTAGCTTTGTGACCCTGGGCAAGTCACTCAACATCAACTGCCTCACCAAATACCAAAAAGATAAAGATGGTTTTGATCTTTCTCTCTGGGCACCCTAAAAGTGGTCAGTCAGTTGGCTACGTATCAAGCACTGTGCCAAGTGCTAAGGATATAAAGAAAAATAAAAGATGGCCCCTGCTGCCTAGCAGCTCCCAGTTTAATGGGGGAAATAACATGTAAACAACACGTACTCATGACAATCACCAGAAAGAAGGCACTAGTGTGAAGGGGGATCAGGAAAGGTATGGCTTGAGGGGAGACTAGAAGGAAGGCAGGGAAGCTAAGAGGCAGAGATGAAGAAGAGAGTGCTCCACACATGGGGAGCAGCCAGAGAAGACGCTGAGGCAGGAGATGTGAGGACCAGCCAGGAGGCCCGTGGCACCAGGTCACGTCAGACCACAGAGCACGTGCTGGAGAGGACTGGGAGTGAGCTCCTTGAGAGCTGTTCCGCCTTGCTTTATATCCCTGGTGCTTAGCACAGTGCCTGGCATATAGGAGGTGCTTAATAAATGCTTACTGACTGTGTAAGCTGTAAGAAGAATGGAAAGGTGGGAAGAGTTAAGGTTATGGAGGGCCTATTGGAGCCAAACAAAGGATTTTACATTTGATCCTGTAGGTCTCAGGGAGCCAGCAGAGTTGACTGAGGAAGGGGTGCCATGGTTAGATCTGCATTTTAAGCAGCTCAATTTGACAGCTGGACTGGCATGGGAAGAGACTGGAGGCCGGCAGACCTACCAGGCAGGCCACTGCCACAATCCAGGCGTGAGGCGATGACAATGTCGAGAAGAAAGAAGGAGGCATACTGGGGAGATAACACAAAGGGAGAAACAATTAGACTTGGCACCTTCTGGGCTACGGGGGTGAGAGAGAGTGAGGAGGTGAGGACAATGCCTCGGTGGTGTGCCCCGGTGACTAGGAGGACATGGTGCCCCGCACAGTAACAGGGAAGTTAGCACGAGGGGAGGTTTCCAGAAAACAAGGTCAGTGTTGGACGCATAAGAGTTTAAGACGTCTACAAGATGCCCTACAGCCAGCTGGATGTGCAAGGCTACAGGCTGGCAGAGAGGTCAGAGGCAGACAAATAGATCTGAGAATCATCTGCAGGGAGAAGTGACGTGAATCCACAGGAGCCGATGAGGTCACCGAGTGAAACAGTACGGAGGGAGGAGAGAAAAGGGCCCAGGACAGAGGCCAGTGGGCCGCCACGATTGATGGGTTTGCCTCAGACAAAGATCCAGCAAAGGAGACTGAGAAGGAAGAGTCAGCCAGGCAGGAGGGGAACCCCCCAAAAACCCAAAGAAAAAATGGTACCAAGGAGAAGAGGGTGACTGAGAGTGTCCAAAGCTAGAGAGAAGTCAAGGATGAGGCCGAGGAGCAACACAGGGCCTCCCGCCAGCACTTCCTGAACGGAAGCCTGTTAGCTAGGGCAATTCTCAAACTCAGCTTTTCTACCGTATCCATTAAAATAACTTTCTTCCCCAAACAAGACATGAAAGACAACCAAGGAACAGGGGTATACGTGCTTGCCAGTAGCAGTGTAGACTACAATTGTCAGCAACGAAATTCCTGGCACAAACAGAAATCCATTAAAAAACTGGCCTCCTGAACACACACAAGACCAGGAAACACTTACTTAGACAGCAAAGTATTAAAATGTTCTTGAGCCGAAAATACAGGCACCACTCAGTGTGTGAGGGCAGAGGGCAGAGACTGGTGCGGAGGCAGGAGCCCCTTAGCCTCTAACTATGAGAACCTCCACTTCCTGATCTGTAAAACACAGAGGCTGCACCAGTTTGTCCAAGGTCCCTCCAATGCTAAGAGTTTACTACTCTGGGCTTCCACACTCCGGGCCGGATCATATGACACTGACCCCCAAAAGGAAGGACCTCTACATCAATGCCCCGCATCATTCTCAGCGATCACTACCGGCCACAGGAACAAGGACCTCTCTGGTACCTTCTGGACGCCCTCAAGAAAGCACATCACCGAGTAACCCCGGGAAATGCACTGGCCTCTGCAGCTCCCGACCCCCAACCCCCGACCCTGGCACAGACTACAAAGGAGAGGAATAAAGGTCACGTGCCTTAGGTGCCACAGTGCAGCGACACGGCCAAATGGAGGGGAAAGAAAATTTCCGTGCTCACGAGCTGTTTCAGCTGGAACCCCCTTCACGTCAAACAGAGATGGAGGGTGTTCCCGTCCCCCTCGCCTCACTCTGCATGCTGCTGTGTGGAGTGTGCGTTTCCCTCTCTGCATCCAGAGCTTTTGTGCCATCAGGCCCTCAAGGACTCTATTTCAATTGTGTCTTTACATCCCCAGTGGGTGAGCGTAAAGTCCTGCACACAGAAGGCACAAAATAAACGCTGGTTAAACTGAAAACAAACCAACCATCTCATCTGGACTAAGAAGGCCAAGCAGGCTAATTAAATAAGTCCAAAGGCCGACCAAACAGGAAGCAGAGCCCTCCGGCTCCGCCCCGATCTCCACCCCTCAGTCTCACTCCATCCATCTTCACTGGTCCCGTTCCCCTCAAGCATCTCATCTGCGATGCCGAGAAGCCGGCCCTGCCAAAGCCTCCGTGGCCTCTGACTCTGAGTCCGGGCTCCTCTGAGAGCGCTGAAGGGAAGAGTCCGGACAATCGAGGCCACCCCAGTTTGGAGAGAAGACAGCCTCCCAGAGCAGGGAGGAAGTGAGCCGAGCCACAAGGGAGGAAAGGCTGCAGAAAAGGCACCCCTAGCAAAGGCTCCGAGGCAGGAACGAGACAGTGAACAGCTACATCAGCCTGGGACATGAGGTTCCTGCTGGGAAGTAGAGGAAATAAGGTGAGGAGTAAACGGAAGCCAGAATACACAGGCTTTAATGTATCGGCTAGGCAATAGAGAGCCACCGAAGGCGATAGAGGAGGGGAGGTTCGTAATGAAAGCAATGTTCTAGAAAGAATAATCTAACCCGGGGTGAAAGACGAATGACAGAAGGAAGACAACAGAAGTGGGGAGATCAGTGAGGAGGCCACAGCAGGGGCCTGATCGAGACCTCGGATCCTACCAGTTGTCAGCAGTCACTATTATGAAAGCAAACGTATTCTTCCAACTTGCAAACTGGATGACTTTTACATTAAATTGCCGGTGGCCGCTCCCACAGGGTCCCTTGGCAGCACCAGCAGAGGCAAGCCCCCACATCCTTCCGGGTATTGTCCGCCTGACCCAAAGTCTGGCGCAGCAAAGCCCCTGCTGCTGACTGGAGGTGATCAGAGGCTGGTCTCATGCTACAACATGCAGATGTCACCACTTGGTAGCAACGAAGCAGATTTAAAGCCAGTTTCCATCACAGCATTTCCCAAGCAATCTGCCAAAAGTACAAAAGAGTTTAGCTCCTATTTTACCAGGAGGAACATCGAGGGCCTTCAAGGAGGATTTGGAAAACTCAGTGGGGGGTGTTCAAGACATCAGTCCTTGTTCCCCACCTTCCCAGTTCTAACAAGAATGACTAGGTGAAGAAAAGTGATTCTAAAATAGAGGTTCTTTAATTTAAAGGAGCATGGATTTAGAGCTGAAAACCTCAGGAGAACAGTTTATAGAACTCGCTAATTTTATGGATCACGGAAGAAAATGAGGCTGAAAAATTAAGTGGCCTGCCCTGTTATACCCACGCAGGAAGCAGCAGAGCTGGCTGGAATTCAATCCCAAGCTTCTGTCTCCAAACCTTTCCACTGCATCAGAGACTCTTGCAGGGAGGGAGGGAGAAAGAGAGGAGAGAGAGAAAATACTCTTTCACAAGGCAATCCAAGGTCATGGACTGTAACACGGCCACAAAAGCTACCTTCGTAACTGAGGTCAAAGGGCACACATAAACGCACATCACAGGACCCTGATGAGGCACTGGCAGCAAGGGAAATGCCTTCTGCCCAGATGGACAGTCACGTCATGATGCTTAAAGAGGATGGACAGGCAGTGCAGCACACGGGGAGAGGGCTTGTCTTAGAGCCCCGAGACAGCCCGGCTCTGTGAGCAGGAGCAAGTCACTTCTGCCCAGATGAACAATCACGTCATGATGCTTAAAGAGAAGGACGGACAGGCAGCGTGGCACACGGGGAGAGGGCTTGTCTTAGAGCCCCGAGACAGCCCGGCTCTGTGAGCAGGAGCAAGGCACTCAGCCTCCCGAAGACTAAACGTTCCCAATGAGGGGCCAATGTGCATCTGTGGAAGACGGTTCTAGTCTGGAAGCTCCCCACATCAGTGAAGTCTCTCAGGCCTGGACCAGCCCTCTCCCAGAAGACAGCCCAGAGGGTTCTTGCAAAGACACTTCACACTGCAGCTTCCCCTCCACAGAGACAACACTGAGCTCAAGGTGAAACAAGTCCCGTCCTGTCCTCAAGGAGCTTACTGTCTAAATGGAGGAGCCAGCATGGGCAGCTCTGGGTGTACAGAAAATCAATGCGAGGTCACAGGGTCAGGGAGACAAGGAGACAGATTCGAGGCCTAGGGGCCAGCCAGGGCAAGGGCACAAGATGGAATATCATGCATGAGAGAGGGCGAGAAGAAAGCCTGGCTTTACAGGAAATACAGCAAGTGATCCAGGTGAACCACAGGTTCAAGAGGTCTCTGGGGGACCTGAAACCCTAAGAAAGCCCCTTGGCCTGCACCCGGAGTGTGTAAAGTAAATGGGTTCTTTTCATAGGTCATAACTGAGAGCTGAAGGGATCACCTAGATCAACCCCCTCATTGTACAGATGAGGAAACTGAGCCTGAAGTGACTAGGCCAATGTCTCACAGATGAGAAATGGCACACAGTCAAGATCTGAACTGAGGTCCTCAGCCTCTGAATGTACAGGACTTCCTGCTGCATCCTGAGCCTTTGTGGGTGTTTCTTTTCAATAGTCTCACATATTCACCCTCCCTACGATCTTCTGTGCACAATTAATTTGCCTAATCAATAACTCCTTCCTCCAGACAGTGCCAAGGTAAACATTTCAAACCCAGCCGCTGCTGACTTCTGAATGAACGGCACTCGTCTCCCCCGGCCAGCCTGCTGTCTCCCCCTAGGGGACATTGTCGGCAGACCGCAGGGCTTACCCGGAAGGCACGTCCAGATCTTCTCTCTCCAGCGTCCCCACGAGCCGCCCCTCGGGGCTAGTCATGTCCATCTCGGCCTCTTCTGCAGCCGCTTTTTTTTCTGCATTTTGAAAGTATTCCTGCAGGGCTGTGTACAACTTGTATACCTGACTGAAGGAAAGCTTGTTGTATGCCAAGATCATGTGACGCAGAAACAAACCTAGAAAACAGTGCATTTAAGTGTAGTTAATTATGATCCGAGAGGGCTGGACTTGGGAGGGCATCGAGATGGGGGACTCCCAGTAAGGAAACTTCCTCAGTGGATCCAGAGCAGCAAGAGAACCGTTCTGGTCAGTGACAGTTAAGTGACCTAGCCACAGTCACGTATCTAGTATGTGTCTGAGGCAGCATCTGAACTCCAAGGCCTTCTAGCCACCATGTTAAATGATCTTTAGGCAACCTACAATTAGTAGGCTCCTGACAAAAGTTTGCTAAATTGAAAAGTGATCTTTAAATATAGATGCCAGAGATGTTTAATAATACAAACCACTTAAATTTCATTTAAAACTGCATCAATGCCATAGGTCAAACTGGACAGACATCATTCCTACGCTTGTAAAGTTTAGCTACTATCAGTCCTCTGTGGAAAACTCTGGGGTACTGGATGGGAGCAGCCCCTGAAAGACTGTAGGGTTCTTCTGTTCGCCTGCACACATGAGCTCAGTGGAGCAGGCTGATGCACGAGTGCAAAGGAAGACACGGATGAATGGACAGGGGTGAGTGCTGAGGAATAACCTGGCCAGATGATCTGGAGGAAAGACTCTTCCTCTTGACCCTGAGATTTCGATGGAGAAACAGTGCAGTGGGGGGAAATGCGGACGAACCTCGGAGGCACAAAATTCTGGGTTCAAGTCTGACTCTGACACATACTGGCCATGACCACAGAGGAGGCCTTAACCCAGCAGCCCCCTAAGCCTGCAGATTACAGGTAAGTTGCCCATCCCTTCAGTAGAGGGAACTCCCACACCAGAAATTTTCCATACCAATGATATCAGAGGACTGCCCTCCTAACCCCCAATGACAAAGGCAGTACTTTGTGATTAGCACAGGGTACGTGCTATGGACTAAAGGCAGGGGCTGATACAAAGAACTTGCTGGCCCCACTGGGATGCCAAGGAGATGTACCACTACAAAGAGCCGCGTGCTCCGGGAACAGCTATCACACAGAAGCGCTCTCTCTCTGGCCCTCTTGGCACTGCCCGTACCTACGACACTTGTTTTGTGAACCTCGGGGTCAGTTCCAGAGAAGGAATCCGAAAGGTCATCAAAGAATTGCTCCATGTCCTTCAGCTCCCCTTCAGCCATCAGCTTGATTCTGAATGAAAACATTTGGAATGGCTCATTTTTGCAAAGTCCTATAAACTGCATCTACCTGTGTTGCTTAACCATTTTTCCTTGTTACAAGGGAAGGTTTGGGGGAGAAGAGAAGAGAGGAAAGATGGGGAAGGGGCAGTGGGTGGTATAAGGGGAAACATAAAAATAAAAGGCATCAGCAAATCCAGACCATCAGTCCTAACCTTCGAAGAATGTCTTTACTTCCGTGAACCTTAGATTCTTCATCTGCAAACTGGACATGGTCACACCTGCCAGCATGGCATTAGGGGATTGAGGGCTGGCCTGGGAGAAAAGCAGCTGAGGCTGACCCCTCCTGGCCATGTGACCCAGGGTAAGTCATTTCAGAGTCCCAACCAAGCCTCTACAGGAGCTGCAGATCTACACTGGTGGGAGGTATGACGCACACCAACAGAGCCCTGGTCTATGTCTGGTACCCCCCCCCAAACAAAGCCCCTCCCAACGTCTCTGAACTAGTCTTAGCATCAAACCACCTGCCACTCACTCCTAAATTATTCTGGCTTTTTTGGTAATTATCAAAGTTGGGCAGCAAAAGTAGAGATGTTTAGTTCTGCTTTCAAAGCGTTCATAAAGAATTTCTCTTTAACATGAAAACTTCCTCAAATTAGCTTCAATGAAACAAGACTACCAAAAGTGTATTTGCCCAGGGTTTACTTTCATTCTTGCCCACCTGAACACTTCGTCAAACTGATACTGGAAGAAGAGGAGTTTACCTGATTTGAACGGAATTTGCCAGCTGTGGACAGGACTCATTAATTGCCTTGTACAGCCGAGTCAACGTCATATCAGGCCCCTACGTGACATGAAAAGACAGGCTTGAGATTCGAACAGTGACAAATAGCTGATTTATCCACTCCTGGGGTTCCCCTCCTCCCTCACCCCTTCAGATTTTATGAGCAAATCTGCCTCCTCAGACCTAAACCGACAAGGGCTCTCTACAGAAGGAGCAATGAGCATCTACTGTGTCAGACACCGGGCTAAGTGCTGGGCATGCAAAGACAAAAAATACAAACCTCTGTCTTCACAGAGCTTCCATGCTCCCAGACAAACATACAAATAGGTAAGTGAACAAATGATAACCTGAGGAAGGGGAGTGCTAACAACGGGGGGGGGGAAATCAAGAAAGGCTCCTGACAGAAAGTAAAAAAAGAGCTAAACCTAGATGCAAGTTGGGAATTCAAAGACCTGGAGATTGGAGGGAGAGAATTTCAGGCATAAAGGTTAACCCACAAAGAGGGAGGAGAGGTCAGGAAACAGCAGTCAGGCCAGTTAGCCAGAACAGAGAGCATGAACAGGAGTAACATGAAATAAACTCAGAAAGGGAAGAAGGCTGCAGAAAGCTTTCAATGCTGAGCTCCAAAGTTTCTATTTTAACCCAAAGGCCCAACTTTAGGATAAACTAGGTCTGGAGCACTGAAGTAACTCAATCAAACTTGTGCTTGGGAAAATTAGTGCAACAAGTTTTTTAAAACAAACCACTCCTTTCATCCAAATGGTCCACACCCTTGGCAAGCACATTTCTTCTCTGTATCTGGGTGGAGGATGGAATGCAAGGGTCTGAGGGGACAGATGAGGGCCTGGCCTAGCGGCCACTTCAGTACAAAAAGGAGGATCAATGTAAAGATGTCACAGGGCCACTAGCAGGAAGAGGGCAGTGAATGCATAGAAGACACACACACGGAAGCCCCAAGTCAGACCGGCTGGGAGTGAGTCCCACACAGAGCTCTCAGGCCAACAGCAGGTCCTCTGGACGGCCTACACAGTGGAGCTGCAGAGACCCTTCTCCTTCCAGCCCACAAGCCTTTGCTACCCCTGTTCCTGTGCCTACCATGCTCTCCCTCCTGTTCTTTAAAGCCCACTTTAATTACCAACTCCTCCAGGAATCCTTGCCTGATCTTTCCCAAACGTCCCAGAAGACCTCCCCCCAACTAAAACCTTAAACACTGCTTTGTAACTGACCATCACTTTCATCCTGTGTATTACAATGTCATTATTAATATTATGATTCATTCACATTACAGTGTTTTATGTTACTGTGCTGAAGTCTTAACCTTTTACTAGACCGAAAACTCCCTGAGGACAGGGACAGTGTCTCAATCTCCCCTGCAGTTCAAACAATGGCCTCCACACAGGTGGTCCTCAGCCAGAGCTTCAAGTTAGGGGTGCCCCTCTCTTTCCACAACAATCTCCTTGTCCCTTTCCAGGGGCACTGAGGAGCCCTGGAAGGAACACTGGACAAAGTCAGGAGGCCTGGGTTTTAATTCAGATTATGACACTTCAGAGCTGTGTAAACTTAGGTAAGCTGCCTCGACTGCCCAGGCCAGTTTCCTCATCTGTTAAATGAAGGAGATCCCTTAGAGCTCAAAATCTCATGATTTTTTTTTTTACTATTCAGTCACTTCAGTTCTGAGGGTCAGAATCTTCTCCTATAAAACAGGGAAAATTGCTTACAGGTTTTACAAGTGTTACACTTTTATTACCTCACTGAAATCTAGATGGCATGGTGGACAGAGAGCAATGGGCCTGGAGTCAGGAAGCCCTGAGTTCAAATCCAGCCTCAGACACCTAGTAGCTGGGTGACCCTGGGCAAATAACTTAACCTGTGTGTGAGACTCAATTTCCCCATCTGTAAAATGGAGACAATATGGGCACCTACTTCCCATAGTGGTTGTAAGGCTAAATGGGATATTTCTAACCTGCTACTGCTATAAATGACAGCTACTATTTGCCATTAGCTATTTAATGATTTGACTCTCACAACAATTCCGTGACATACGTGCTATTATTGCACCGATTTTAAAGAGGAGGAAATTGGGGCACAGGGAAGTTTAATTCACTTGCCCAGGGCCACCCAGCTACTATGTGCCAGAGGGGGAATTTAAACTCCCGTCTCCCTCACTCTTAGGTGCAACAGGCCTGACACATATTAACAACTTAATGTTTGTCGACAGAATCAACCCACAGCACGTTGGAATCAGAGAATCTTCAGCTGGAAGGAAGCTTGGATGCCTTCTAATCCAATCCACACCTGAGGAGGATTATCCACCAAAACGCCTTTTCCTGCAGACCTCTGGTGACAAGGCACCCCCTCCCCGGGGGCTCCCCACCTCGGCCCCTCCCACTTTAGTCTGCTCTAACTGGGAGCTTTTTCCTCAGACTCTGGGGCTTCCCTTTTGGTCCTGCCCTGCCCTCTGGGACCTCACCAAACCACTCTCTTCACTCCTTCCACAAGACACCCAGTCAAATGCTTGAAAATGGAGAATAGGAGAAAAAGGACCAAGCCTGGAATGGAAGAGATGAGTTCCAGAATGATGCTGACTAGCTGTAAAACCCTACGCCTGTCACATGCTTCGTTTCTCCTAATGAAAAATAAGGGGGAAGAGGAGGAATTTTGGTGAAGTTGAACTAGAAATCTCAACGGCTCCCCTACAACTCCAAATCCCCTATCTCTGCCTCCGTCTCGCTGAGATTCAGCTCCTGTGTCTACCACGTGGCGACCACACTCACAGGACCTGTCTCTCCCTCCTCACTTCTGCCTCCCAACTTCCTTCCCATCCCAGTTAAAACTTCACCCCATAGGAAAAGCCTTGCTCAAATCCTCTTATTTCCAGGGCCTTCCGGTTGCTCATTTTCGATTTCCCGTCTACAGCTTGTTTGTACAGAGTTGTTTACATGTGGTCTCCCCCATCAGACTATAAGCTCTTTGAGGGCAGGGGCTGTCTTTGCCTTTGTACCCGCGGAGCTTAGCATAGTGCTTGGCACATAGTAGGTGCTCAATACTTGTTTTCTTCCCTCTTTCCCCATTAGACTGTAAACTCCTTGGAGACAGGGGCTGCCTCTGCCTTTCTTTGTACCCCCGGCCAGCACAGCGCCCGGCACCTAGTAGGTACGTAATCCACGCTTGCTTCCTTCTTTCCCCACTGACTGTAAGCGCCCTGCGGGCAGGGCCCGTCTTTGCCTTTCTCTGTACCCCCAGCCTTAGCACAGGGCTCGGCGCCCGGCGGGCGCTTAACAAACGCTTGCGGACGGTCTCCCGGGCGCTGCTCGGCGGCCTGAGGCGGGGCCGGCCTGGGCGTCCCGGGGCGCGCGCGTCACCTGCAGCAGCGGCAGCAGGAGCTGGTTGAGCCGCCGCCGCTCCAGCAGGCCGATGGCGGAGCCGCCCGCGCGGCCCATCTCGCTCAGCAGCACGAGCACGGCGATCTTGTACGGCGTCACCCAGTCCTTGATGCCGAACACGTTGGCGTGCACCACGCCGTTGGTCATCATGGGGTTGAAGTAGAGGCTCTCGTGCACGCTCGCCATGGCGGCCGCCCCCGCCCCCGCCGCCGCCGCCCACAGCGGCGACTCTCGGAGCCCCGGCGCCTCCAGCTATAACGGCGGGCCCGCGCGCAGCGCCGTAACCCGGGAAACCAGGCGCTTCCGGCCGGCCTGTGCCCGCGACAGCCAACCAGCGCGGCCGTGCCGGGTCAGCTGGGAGGAGCCGGCCAATCAGGAAGCAGACCCTGAAGCGGGGAAGGCGGAAGTTGTTCGGCGGCAGCTGTGCTCTGATAGATTACATCCCCATAGAAACCAGCGCCGGAGGGGAAGGGAGTTAAAGGGTCCCCCTGGGAAAGAGGCTCCTCCTGGGAGGGACAGGAGAGATAGTAACGACGTGGTAACGGGAAGGAAGGAAGCGTTTTTAAGGGCCCGCTCTGTGCCACGCACTTATCAAATATTTACCTATTTAATCCTAACAACAACCTTGGGATCGTCACAGACATTTTACAATGGAGGAAGGAGTTCAAGTGACTTGCCTAGGGTCATACAGCTGGTAACATTTGAACTGGGGTCTTCCAGACTCCAGGCCCAGGGCTCGATCTGCTGAACCAGCTGGACCTGTGATGTCACTGATGTAGGGACCTTCCAGGCGAGGAAACGCAGACACTCTCCCTGCCATTTATAGTCCCAGAGAATTGCCTGGAGCTCTGAAAGGTTCAGAGGGAGGATTTGAACTCAGGCCTTCCTGGTTTCAAGTTAGACTCTCTAGCCACCATGCAACCAACACTGCCTCTGGTAATAACAATAATATTTAAATACTCCCTTAATGCTTGCAAAACAGTTTAAAAACCTTATCTCATTTATGCCTTACAACAACCTTGTCCAGTAACGAAGGAAGGAAATATGGACTATAATAACAACACTATTATGTTATAGCTAGCATTTGTGTAGTGCTTTAAAGTTTGCAAAGCACTTTAGAAATGTCTCACAACAATACTGATGTTGTTATTGTCCTCATTTTACAGATAAGGAAACTGAGGCAAACAGGTTAAGTGATTTGCCCAGGGTCACACAGCTATTTAGTGTCCAAGGCTAGATTTGAACACAGGTCATCCTGACTCCAGGCCCAGTGCTCTGCACACAGTGGTGCCACTTACTGTATTAAGTGCTCAGTATGTGCAAGATAAGGAAAGTGAGTCCCATTACTACACAGCTAGTAAAAGAAGAGGCAGATTTGAATCCACTAAAATGGGGATAATGACAGCAAACAACAAAAAAATATGAATCATAACAAATCGAGGAAGTTAAAAATACCTACATTATTTGTCTCAGAAAGTAGAGATTATTTTGTAGTTGCATGCCAAGCACCTAATATTGTGCCTGATACATAATAGGTGCCTAATAAATGCTTATTAATGGATTGATTGTATCATTATTTATTAACTTCATTGTTTAATAGCATTATCAATATCAATAAAAAACTTGTGAGTAAAGGTTTTAAAAGCTAAATTTTTTTTAGCATGTCAGCAACAGAGTAACACTGGGCATGCTTGCAAATCAATGGAAACTGCTGAAGAGAAGAAAATTAGATTCCTACTGAGAGAATACAAAATTTAAATATCTTTTTCTTTTTCCAAGTTTCTAAAAACACTCTAAAGATAGGCTGACTAGAATTACAGAAGAGGGCTCTTGAGCCATAAGAGATGCAATATTATAAACAGTTTCTATTGCATATGTAATAAGCTAATAAAAGGTTAAATATTCTCAATTGTAGTTCACCCCATCAATCTGCTACTTGACTCATTCCTGTATTATCTTATCATTTTGAACTCTATGGTAATTCAGGGTTATGTTTGGATATTTTCTCATTAATTACTAAAATAATCAACTAATCTCAGAGCCCCCACTCTGGTTCAAAAACTATCATTTGCTTATCAAACTGAAGAGACTTGTTTTTCTCATGACAGTTGCTTCTATCCCTCAATATATCAAAACTCCTTATCTCCTATGTAAGTTACTAACGATGATTAATAATAATGCAAAACACAAGTAACTATAATATTTTAACTATGCCAAAGACCATAGCCAGAGTCACTTCTAGCTGTCACTATAATTGCAGATGACTTCTCCTCACTTCTGGAAACAGTTTCACCATTCAGTTTACTCAATGTGCCACACAAGTTCTCTTTTCCAAAATTCCTTTTATCCTCTTTTCAAGATAAAGATTAAAATAGTTCCATTAAGAAAAGACTACCCAAGGGCAGCTAGGGGGCGCAGTGGATAGAGCACTGGCCCTGAAGTCAGAAGAACCTGAGTTCAAATGTGACTACAGACATTGGATGCTTACCAGCTGTGTGACCCTGGGCAAGTCACTTAACCCCATTGCCTAGCCAAAAACAAGAAAGGACTAGCTATCTTTTTTCTCTCTTTTTTTTCTAGTTTCTCTTTAGCAAAGGTAGGAGTTTCTTCAACTTCTCTCAATCTATTAGTCTCTAAAGTGTCTCCAAAAAGAATTTTAAAAAAACCAAAACTACCACTTATTCAGCATTTCATTTGGCTCTTAAAGATACTGCATCTGTGTTTTTTTGTGTGACAGCCTATTGAAGCAGGTGATATGCAAATAATAAATATGAATTGATTGAAAAGGCTCCAGTGATTGGAATAACTGTATAGTTCCATGGGGGTAAGAGGGAATTGTTTAAGGTTATAATCTCCTAGAGGAAAGGGACTTTTTTCTTGTATGCCCTTAATAAACACATATTGACTGGTTGATATTCAACTTCACTTTTTTTAAAAATTCTACCCAATGTTCTTTTTGATCAAGGTCTTTTTGATATTTTATTTGATCCAATTCAGCAATGTTCCCCTGACAAGAGGGGAACATACCTGGCAAGGGTTTGAACAGGTGGAAGTAGAGAAGAGACACCCCTCCAAAACTCCTCAGGATACCCTAGAACCTTGAGGGGCAGATAAAGCCTGTCTGGCTCTGGTAGAAGGGGCCAGGGTGTACTCCCTCCATTTATACAAGATATGCACGACAGACGTGCAGGGCAGTTTGAGGTGGGAGGAGGTGCAAGGAGCTGGAGGGATCAGGAAAGGGCTAATAGAGAAAGTGACCTTTGAACTAAGCTTTCTGATTCTAAAAGGTAGAAGTGAGGAGCAAGTACCTTCCAGACATAAGAGAGAACCTTTGTAAAAAGCACAGAGATGGACTCCTGTGTGTGAGGGACAGCAAGAAGGTCATTTGGGCTGGATTGTAGAGTGCATGAAAGGAAGAATGCATAATAAGGCGAGAAAGTCATATTGGAATCAGCTTGCAAAGGCCTTAAAGCACCAAACAGAGGAATTTGTATTTGATCCTAGAGGCCATAGGGAGGCACGTGAGTCTATGGAGAATGGAGGTGAAATGGTCAGAACTGTGCCTTGGGAAAATCAAGTTGGGAGCTGGGTGGAGAATTGGCCAGAGAGGGTGAGAATCAAGACAGACCAATCAGAAGATTATTGCAATTGGGGCAGCTAGGTGTCACAGTGGATAGAGCACCAGCCCTGAAGTCAGGAGGACCTGAGTTCAAATCCTGCCTCAGACCAAACACTTGACACTTACTAGCTGTGTGACCCTGGGCAAGTCACTTAACCCCAATTGCCAAAAAAAAAAAAAGGTTATTGCAATAGTCCAGGCAACAGGCACTGAGGACTTAAGCTAGGAAGATAACTGTGTAAGTGAAGAGAAGGGGCTGTATATGAGAAACAAATGAATGAAAAAACATTTATTAAGCACTCAGGATATAAACAGAAGATTAAGACAGTCCCTATCCTCAGGGAGCTTATACTCTAACTGCAGGAGACAACACAAAAAAGAGAATTCAGCTGCAGAGTGGATGGCAAGGCCCAGGAGTTCTTAGGGCACATCGAGAGGAATCTGGAAGGTAGAGAAGCAGGACAAAGGGTAAGGCTCGGAGCTCCTCCATCTCACCAGAAATATTAGAGTTGGTGACTTCCATCTCAATGTAGGGTGAGTAAGAATGGAGTCAGGAATGACCCTCAGGTTTCTAGTCTGGGTGATTAGAAAGATAGTGGTGTCCTTGATAACAATAGGAAATTCAGAAGAGAAGTGGGTTTGGGCAAAAATATGAGTTCTTATTTTAGATGTGTTGAGCTTGAAATACCTGCAGAACAATCAGTTCAAGGTGTACAATAGGCTGCTGGTCCAGTGGGACTGGAGAATTGTAAAGTAGTCCATACTAGTGTCAGATCAGGTAAAACTCCCTGGAAAGCATTTTGTGGATTTCCAGACCCGTTTGATCATTTAGAAACTCCTGGTGGAAAAATGACAATTACTCCCACGAATCCATCAGAGTTTGTACAGTCACTAGGTCCAGAGAATAGGATGCAAGATAGTCCCCCAAAGCTGTAAAGTGGGACTAACTTCAACTAAAGGAGAAGGTCCAACCTCCACTAGCTACAGGTCATTTTCTTATGAACAGGCCTCAGAACCAAAGCAAGGGAGCCACTCAGACCACACAGACCCAATGGTAAACCTGTTGGAACTTAGACTTAACTATTCTACTTAGAAAGATATCGACAGAAGCCACAGGAACCTAATACAGAGACACTACCAGCAGGGTACACCCCAAGATTGTAAAAACCCTAAAAACCCCAGGCCATTTTCAGGTGAGCTGCAAACCACTTTGGGCCTATGAAGCTGATTTTAAAGCAAAGACATTATATTTACCCCTATTATCCTTCCACGTGGGACTCCCATCTCCCACCTCCGTGCCTTTGTACTGACTGTCCACCATGCCTGGAATACACTCCCTCCACCTCTTAGCTTTCTTTAAAGCTTAGTTCAAGCATCACCTTCTACATCCAACCTTTCTTGATTTTCTGTATTCCCCACAAAATTACCTTCTATCTATTTTGTGTGCATATGTATGCATGCATATATGTGTGTGTATGTGTATATATATACACATATACATAATAATCTAGTGAGAGGAGACAATATGTCTGCATATATTTATTTTTCCATTTCAATGCATTGTACATGTGTTTATATATGTATGTTTAACATTCATATACATGTTGTCTCCCCTCATTAGGTTATTAGCTTCTAGAAGGCAGGGACTTTTTTGCCTGTATGCCCTTAATAAATTATGTGTTGACTTATTGATATTCAACTTCATCTTTTTAAACTCAACTCAATATTCTGGCCTATCAAGTTCTTTTTGATTATTTTGTTGTTCAAATCAAGTGATCCAATTCAACAAGCATTCACTGAGCACCTACTTTGTGCAAATTACCACTTTAGGAACTGGGGATAGAAAACAAAATGAAACCCAATCCCTTACGTCTAAAGGCTTAGATTCCAATGGGGAGAGGATGGGGGGGGATACAACATATTGAGAGATAATTATATACACGATAATATGAGGAGAAGGGAAAGAACGCTAACAACTCCAGGCGTGTGGGAGGTGGGGGCAGGCCTGGGAAAGGTTTCCCATTGGAAATGGCACGTGGAGAGACCTAGGGATCCTATGAGATGGAGGTGAGGAGGAAGGTGATCACACACAGCATGGAGATTGCAGATGGGAGATGGAGAGCCAAGTGTGAGAAACAGCAGGTAGACCAGTTTGGCTGGACACAGAGCACATGAAACCGAGGGAGTTATGGGAGCCTGGAAAGGTAGGTCACGGCCATATTGCACAGGACTTTAAATGCCAAGCCGAGGAGTCTGTATTTTATCATAGAGGCAATATATAGTCATTGAAGTTTCTCAAACAAGAAAGCATGATGGTTGTCCCTGTGCTTTAGAAGAATATTCTGAGAACTGTGAGGGGAATGGATGAAAGCAGGCAAGAGGAGAGAGGGGCCTGACTCAGGGTGGTGTCCACGGGAGTGCAAAGGAGGTAAATTCAAGAGACATTATTGAGGTAGAATTGATGAGCCACACTGACTGATTGGATATGGTTGGGAAGGGGGGCAGGGTGAGGAAGAGGGAAGAGTGAAAGATGGCTCCCAAGGTGAGAATCTGGATGAGTGGAAGGGTGGTGATGCCCCTCAACAGAAGTAAGGA